AAAAAACGCAGTGAGCACTTATATTTTTATTTAAAAAAGTTGAAGGTGTATCTACCTTATGTCCTTTCTGTATATTAAACAAGTTTAATTTTTTTGCTTTTTGCTTGGTACCCATTCTTCATTTAATGTGTTATTCCAGGACTTGTAGTAGAGACAATACCAAATACAGACTTGTGAAATGTAGTTTTAGAGAAGATAGAATAGAAGTAGCAGTAAAACTCCTTGTGAAAGAGTTCATCCAGGGAAGTACTGCCAACCAGACCAATAACCAGCATTCAAGCTAAGAATTCTCTGTACTGTAAATGACAGAGCAACGGAAGTCACCCTGACGCACTATCTCGAACAACCGACTAGCACCAATTTTGGAAAGTTCATTCTCACAATTATTGTCTTACCGGGAATCCAATCTCGTCCTCCTCATTAAATGTCCACAGTACATTCGATGGCCGAAGTTGTTATATATCCAGCTCTGAAAATAGAATGGTATGTGTTACAAGACATGTTAATAGTATGGTTCTTAAAATACATTATTCATACATTTTATGTGCCAGTGGCGATAGTATGGTATGACAGTTGGAAAATATAAAATAATTTATGGAATAAAATTTATATTTCTGACATCATTGAGTCACGGATACATTCGAATTCTAAAGTACAACTCGTGCAAAGCCACATGTGTTCATTAGTCAAAATTGCTTTTATCTAATGAAAGTCATAAAAATATTACAAACTATACGAGACGAACGATGTATTATAGGCCCTGCGTACATTAAAATGTACATAATAATAAATGAATTTATTCAGACTCAGACAATACAATTCCTATAATCACGTAATAAATGCTCAGTCTACATCATGATGAAAATATCGGATTCAATTTTAGAGCTATAATTATATTCTAAAATAATATGACCATAGAGTATCAAGAAAAAGACAAAATATAAAACACAGGGCACAGTTATGCTAGATTTAGTACATTGCAATGAACATTGGGCGTTTAGCGCTTTTCCCATTGTAATTTGACGTATCTTAGAGGTGAAATTTTTCCTACTAACGCACAAAAGTAATCAATTTTTTTTTGTTCATAGACGAAAAAGTTGTAATTTTGCAGACGCGGCCATAAGGCCGATTTCGCTTGGTGAAATAATTGCACCAAGCGAATTTGTCCTTTTAAAACACCTTTGTATGCTTGTAACTCAATCAATGAGTACGCTGACATAGACAATAAGATAATATTTTCTAACCTAGGATCCAGGGATCTCCAAAAGTATATACATTTTGTGGTCCGTGAACTATTGGACATGAATCGATATGATCGACTAAGAAATTTTAATTATTAGAGTGTGCAACATTTTAAGTAATTTCCGAGGGAACAGAACCGCTGTTCTAAGTAACCTAAGCATGACTTACAAGAAACTTATCCAGCTTAATCTTGAAGCTACTGGGGATCTCGAATAGAAACTTGTGTAAACTTGATGAACAGCACGTACAAGGGTTTATATGATTACACGTTTAAACCCCCGTGCTACAGATGTAGTACACGACCTGAGACCGGACGCTTGGTGATTATAATACAAGTATTACATTATTATCTGAAACAACTACATCGTATTTTAAAAATGTATTGTACAAAATATTTTATATTTTTTCCTCATTATTCTACGTCGTATAAATTAATGTAGTTTTGGAACCTAGTTTTTTTATGACACCACGTGACGGGACGAACAAGTTACGCAGGTGGTGGGAAGCGACACGCCTGTCTATAGCGGTTGCGGTGCTACTCAAAGCTTTTAATTGCAAAGATCTGAGGGGCACTACCATTGCACCCGTCATTATGAGATATAAGTTGATAAGCCCCCAGCGCCCTTACCCTTTAAAACCGAAACGCAGTATAATGCTGTTATTACTGCTTAGTGGCAGAAACAAGTAAAGTCTCAAACTCTTTCTCAAGGAGCTCTAGTGCAACTAAAAAGTAGTAATTTTTACAGAAATTCTTTTTTTGAAAGAAACAGTATTGAGTGTGTGGTAATGTTTTTTTGGAATTTTCCCTTCTTACTCAACCTTTGTCCACCCTATGCTGAGTAGGTCTCTTCCAACACACGCCATTCCTTCCGGTTTTGTGCTTTCCTCATCTTATTTTCCCCAGTCACTTTGACAACGGCACCAGTCCAGCACAACGGCTGCCTATCTTCGCTTCTGTACTCTTCTCTGGGTCTACACTCAACCTCCTTCACCGTCTGTAATCTTGTCTGTGGCATATATTTTTTGCCCATTTACACTTTCTGCTAGTTAGCACCTTATGGTTATGTTAATAACATTTATTCTTCTCCGAGTCTGTGTTGCTGAAATGATCTCGGAGACAGATACCCATAGTCCGTTCCATAGGTCACTGGGTGAGCTATAATATAATACATCTGAAAATAATTACAATTAAAGTATAACAACTAAGAAAACAATAAACTTAATATTACAGCCGCTAATAACCGTGTAGGTAGATAGGTACCTTGAAAAAAAACTTTCATAGATTGCTCACAGATGGCGCTACGGCAAAAAGTCGTTAAAATCAAAACCAAAGATCTCATAGAAAAATTCGTTAGGTCAGCTCAGTTGGGAGAGCATCAGGTACGGAATACTGAAAGCGCTGGTTTGAATCCAGCCAGATTGAGATAATTTTTCTTAGTATTCAATCTTTGTATCAATATTTATAATGAAACTAGTGGAGTAATTTCACAAAAAAAAATTTAATATCATGGTAGTTATACATCGTGATATTCACTACATACTTACCTAAGAAAACACAAAGATATATTCATGTACGTACATGACACAGAACACAAGAATACAAATATAATTAAAATATACATAAAATGTAGAGTATGTAGGAATTGTAATTAGCCGAACAAAGGTACCCTCTTTTCTTCTCTCATAGCACACAACATCACTAGCTAGAGAAATCCACTTAAAAGATTGCATACGTGATCTTGGCTAGAGAGATACTTTAATTAGTAAAAGGAAAAACCCGTCTGTTTTCTGCTTTCTTTGATAAATTAATACGTTACATTGAATTTTTTTTTGTCTTCTTAGTATCATTAAAATAATATTCGTGAAGCTGATGTGCATAAAATACAATAATCGTTTTTTTTCTGTAATACCAAGTGACGGGACAAACATGTCGTGCGCCTGGTGTTACGTGAAGCGCCTGTCCGTAGCTGTTGCAGTGCCACTCAGAGCTTTAAATCGAAACGATCTGAGGGGCACTGCCACTGCACCCGTCACCCTGAGACATTAGTTGACAAGTCCCATGTGCCTGTAATTTCAACAGCAGCGTTACCCTGAAAACCGGAACGCAGCAATGCTCATGTTACTGCTTGGTAGCAGAAATAGGTAAGATGGCAGTATTTCCCTGAACGAACTCTTCCACACAGAGCTCTACTGCCGTAGAATATTTGAAAAACAGTTATTGTATATTATTATAATATAATTTAAATAAATCTTCTTCTTTTTGGTTCTTCTACTATCGAAAGTTGAACAACGTAATAGTAATACTGACTTTAGAGACTGCTGCTCTCCGGAGCGAGATGGTACTGCAGCTGCTCAACCATTCCCACAAATTCTTTAACCAGCAGTGCCATTTTCTACTAACATTTTCCGGAATTATTGTCCTAAATGATAAGCTAGTGTAATTTTTACTTATCATTCCTCATGGACGAAGTACAATATCTTCATGCGCTTAATGATGTTAATAAGCTTATCTTTTTCTTGAGCTTATTAAGAGGGTTTACATTTTTAACTGCTTCCGTGGCCGAACGGTTACCATGCCGGACTGCCACGCAGAGGTCCTAGGTTCGATTCCCGGGCCGGGAGAAATATTTGTATGGCCTACATTTATTTCTCTCGTGAGTTTGGGTGTAATTTGTGTTTGTCTATGTATGTGTCCATGGCACCCGCGACACAGGGTTTCCCTAGTGCGGGGCTATGATGAGTGTGTGCGTTATTATTATTATTATTATTTGTAACCCGGTCACGCTATGAGGTTTTCAAGATACTTCCTAAAAAAAGCTCCAGAATCATCTTCCAGCATCCATCACAACTACACTATCAAGAAGAATATCGAATTGAAATATTTAATTACATAAAACAACAAGCACATGTGCAATTTTAAATTTTCTTTCAAATGTAAACATTGATAATTATTGAACATAATAATGTTTTGAAAAACAATACAATGTTTTTAAAAAACAACAATCCTAGCCAAAAGCCGTAATAGTTTGAGCTCATCGTCATCATCATCAGCTTACACGAATCCACTGCTGAACATAAGCCTCCTCCTGAGTACGCCAACTCTCCCGGTCTTGTGCCGCCCGCATCCAGCCGCTGCCAGCTACCTTTCCAGGTCGTTCGTCCATCGTACAGCAGGGCATACCACTCTACGTTTTCCTTGACTTGATCGCCATTTCAGAACAAGTCTAACTGCTTCAAAGGCCGAACGGCTACCATGCCGGACTGCCACGCAGAGGTCCCGGGTTCGGTTCCCGTGGGGGGAGAAATATTTGTATGGACTACATTTATTTCTGTCATGAGTTTGGGTAAATTTGTGGTTGTCTATATGTGTGTCCATAGTACCCGCGATACAGGTTTTCCCTAGTGCAGGGCTATTAAAAAAAAGTCTGCTCCATTGGCGATCAGCCCTCCTTCAGACATGCTTTACCCACTGCCATTTAAGCTTACTGATTTTGCAAGCTATGTCGGTCACTTTGGTTCTCTGACGTATAACCTCGTCAGGAATTAGGTTCTATCATCGTAGTGAAACCTGCAATTCGAAGAAGGTTCACAACTCTGGCCTAAACCCTCGCCCAACCCGTGCTCAGCAGTGGGACGTATAAATAAATAGGGTGATGATGATGAACATTCCTGTTCTCATATTACAGTCAGAGTTGCGTGTATTAGAGATTGGTAAGCATAATGCAAATAGTTCATTATCATTTTCTGATTGCAGGTGGCGGCGCGTCAGGCCCAGGTGTTTCGGTTTCTACTCAAGTAAGTTTAACTGTTATGTATCGAAATACAAAGTATAAATAACAAATAATGATGATAATAATGGTTTATTGATCACGAACCAAATTTATATTTTTTTTAAATACATAAACCGTTTCTTATGTGTGCCCACAATTAAATCTTCTGAATCGTGTTATTATACAGACGTAACATTTTTGTTTTTTGACAAAATACCTAGTGGAAAGAGACGACGAAGTCGACGACGGGTTATGTACTCCAATATTATGCCTATTGACTCTCACCTTAAAAGCAGCAGGCAGGGAATTTCATTCCAATGCCGTACGCCAAATAAATGTGGAAGCGTAACGCTTCTTGCGAATCTTAGACGTATTCACAATATAAGGGTGGAACCCCAGCTGACATCTAGTCCCAACGATGCTAGAAAGGGGATGGCTGAATTGTTTCATGCAATTCTGTCGCACACTCTTCGTAACCTGTAGCCTACTGAGAAGCAGGCAACTTTACCATAGTATAATAAGACACGTATGGACGCACACATTCACATAACCTCACAATGTACTAGCGTTGCATAACAATGGTCGTCCCAACGCGCCTTAAATCATTATGCGAATGTATGCGTCTGTACATGGCGCGCGGCGGCTGCGCTCACATACAAGCCGCGTTATTACTTTGTGCGGAGTCACCATACTTCTCTTATTTTACAACGATTTTATGGTGGTGTTCAAGGCATTGCATCAATCAATCAATATCAGTTTATACGCATGCACTGCTGGGCATAAGATTCTTTCTTGAACCATCCGTCCATTTTGCCGCAAGGTGTCCTGCATTACATTAAGTTTCACTGATAAATTTTTACTTCGTTGATATTTATATATTTTTTGTGAAACAAAGATGAAACAATGGAAACAAAATTCCTTCGACCTGGCTGAATTCGAACCAGGATCTGTTGCCACACCGGGGTCAACGCTCTTACCAATTGAACTATATATCGAGTCAGCAGATCTTATGAATTGCTCTTTGTGTTTGTTGCAGATCTTTGTGGTGAATTCTCACAAAACATATATGGTTGATTTGACGTTGGATTACACAAACCACAACTGCAGTAAAACATAAGTACTGTGCGATGTCATTCGAACGTAAAGTGCAATTACCAGATCTTTTTCTTACACTTTGCACAGAGACAGCATTGTATGTTTAATGAATCAGCAGAATTTTTAGATGGAAAATTGCAGAAGGAGAATAGGTATCCATTGTTAGATTTCCTACGTAACGTAGGTACTAAATGTCTTTCGTATGAACTGCAAATCTCATTCACCTATTGAAGTCGTTTGATTTTTGTTCTCAAGTGTAATCTTGTACAAATTTCGATTAATCACAAAATATTTCATTTCCCATAAAGAAAGTAAAATAAATTTCTCGATTTTACATCTACTTAAGATTCCTCGTCACGTACGTTTCTTTACGACGGTCTACCGTAATTTGAGCACACAATGTAAGGCTATACCAGATTGACTTTACCGCCGCTTGTGCCGGCAAATGGATAATTTTGTCTTATACATTTTGAAGCTTTGTGCCATACAGAAAAATATTTGATCCATAAATGGCTGGCGTTGGTAAAAAATAAACGCAACTTGATTTTTCATTAAACTTTCATCTAATGACGAAATAAATATATTTCTAACCGACTTCAAAATATCTATCTTCAAAATATGCCCGAATCGTTTACATTTCATTTTGGTACATTATTTAATTGTCACATTATCCAGTATAATTAGAGTGTTTATAAACAACTAAAATAAAACAGCCTAATTTAGTCCGAACAAAGGATAAAAATACAGGAACAAAAAGGAGGAGGTTTTTTATATGTATGTTACGCGATAGCCCTGGACCTTTTGTGGACTGATTTTGATGATTCTTTTATTGTTGGAATGAGGCTACCTCTGTAGTGGTCTCAATTAAATTTTATATTCGTGGCCAACTACGGGATAAATGACTTTTAAGGTCAGTTTTTTTGTACTCTCTACCGAGATTATATGGATTATTAGTTTTAGAAAGATGAATATATAATAAGATTTAAAACTCGCTCTGTAACTCAGTTCGCATTAGCGGTGACCCCGGTGTGGCAACTGACGCTGGTTCGAGTGCAGTGGAAACTTTCCTTTGCATTGTTCGATCTTCGTATCAATAATAAGATTTAAGAAGGAAAGTTGTTAAAAATAAAAAATAAAGATTTACAACAAGCACACGAAAAATTCATAAGTACCGTTGCTTCGTTCCGTAGCTTAATTGGCCTGTGCCAATTAAGCTACGACGCTGTCGTCTATCGTGGTTTGAAGACACTGGTTCTGATCCAGCCGGATCGAAGGACTTTTTTAAAAGTGTTCGATCTTTGTATTAACAATTATAACAAACTAGTGGAGTCATTCCAGAAAAATAATTTCATAAGTCAAACATCGTGACATTCAATAAGAACTTGACAATTTCAAAATTTAAGACGTTATAATCTCACATTGTTCAAGGCATAACGCATCTATGTAGCATAGAATTGAATTTTTATTTTAAGTGAGAGTAAGATATGTGTCCGTAATTTTTTTAAATAATGTAAGTGCGCATTTGATCTTCATCTCAACTGATGGAAAGTGACGATGAGGTCGACGACAGAGATTTCACATCTAAATAACGCTTATGCACTTCCGTCTTAAATATTGAATAAAGTTTTATTTCTATAATGTTTTATATAATAAATGTAAAAACATTTATTGGTTTTTGTAGCAATAGAGCTCTTTGTGAAAGAGTTCGTCCTGGGAAATACTGCCCCCTTATCTATTTCTGCCGCCAAGCAACGATGTGAGTACTACTGCGTTCCTGTTTTTAAGGGTACGGGTGCTGGTGAAATCTGTGGCTCTAGTGAAGAAGGGTACAAGTAAAAAAAGTCAATTTTACATGGAAACGCGAAAAGCAACGCTTAATATCATATTAAGCTTTAAATGTTTTTCGCGTCTCTTTTCACTAGAACCACTGAAATCACAAGCTCATAGGACTTGTCAACTTATGTCTCAGGATGTCGAGCGCAGTGGCAGTGCCTCTCAGATTTTTATGATTTAAAGCTCTGTGTGGTACTTCAACTGTTTTGGACAGGAGTGTCGCTTATCATCAGGCACACTACTTGTTCGTCCCGTCACGTAGTTATTATAAAAAATGTCCAACTGTTCAGTATGACCTGTCATACTTCCGGCCTTCGATAGGGTGGTGGTCCGATTACTCTAGAAAGTTATTAAAAGCGATTCCCTTATGAAATTCCATCGCGAGCGCAAAGATTTATGAAACCCTTTAAGTTTCCAAGGTGACTAAGATATGAGTTTGAAGCGACATTATAATGATTTGTAACGTGATGGTAGTGCAACAAAATTTCATTTTGAAAGACACACGTAAAAAATATAAGGAAGAAAAATTCTTGATGTGAGTTTTTTACATTCGCATGTGAAATATTATGTTTTATTATAGTCAATATATTCCATTGACGTTTATGTGGTGTTACATAACTTATTGTTTAATGACTACATTAACGGGTTCTTGATAATTTAAAAAAACATACTAATGTTTTTTTAAATTATCAAGAACCCGTAGAGAATAATTTGTACAATATTCCTCGGGCTTACTGATATGTTATTTACTACATTGTGAAACCAACAATTTCATATTACAAAGGCTGTCGAACTACATAAAATTTATCATCACTCAAAATCATTGTGACTATAGACACCTAACACCTAACATTAAAAAAAAAGTATGCCTTTATCCAACAATACACTTCCTAAATATTATTAACTCAAATTTCACATGACAAAGGGCTAATCGATGGAGAACTTGAATATCTTCTAACCCAAATATAGAATCATTGTAAACAAAACGAAACTTTTATAGAATAATTTGACAATGCAAAGAAAAATTAACAATACAAAATTCGCACACTGATTATGACAGTGATGCAATACAAAATTTTACATTTTGAGTAATGAGTAACTTCAAAATAAGAAACCGTAGTATCGTAATGCTTTGCCCCACAGCCTCTCAAGCAGAGTGTCGTGGGTTCGAATACGGACTTGCGTCGGACTGTGAGTTTTTCGGAATTTATATGGAATATATAATTAAAAATTTGCCAATAAATTATTTCACTTCTAAGGGTGGCGAACTAGGGGATAAATGAGTTTTGAGGTCGAGTTTTTTAGTATTCTCTAACTAAAAAAAGCTCTAGTATTGCGATTATGTTTCATAGGAATTAAATACACTCTTTTGCAAAAAAAACGGGCACCTAAGGAAATTTACGTTCTAAAGTCGATTTGAGTTAATTAAATGAAATTTATTTCTTTGACTTAGTCTGTATACTTATAATCGTGTAAATTAATGCGCATGAAGTGAATTCGGGCAATTAAAATAAAAAAAGACGATGGATTCTTTAAAACCGATGTACACGCCCAAACAATAAGAAGTGGTCGGCAATAAAGACAAGATTTTTTTACTTTTTTTTAATTAAATAAAGTTACAAATGTAAAAACCTAATAACGAGTGTGACCTCCTCTTGCCAAAATCACAGCTTGAATGCTTCTGGGCATGCTTTCCACGATGTTTTTAATAACATTTTGAGGAATACGTTCCCACTCTTCTGCAATGACTCTTTTTAGCTCCCTGATGTTTTGTGGAGCAGGTTGCACTGATCTTACCCGTCTCTTTAGAACATCCCAGACATGCTCAATTGGATTGAGGTCAGGACTTGGAGCTGGCCAATCTAAACGACGGATCCCAACTTCTTGCATGTACGCTTCCACGTCGCCAGAACGGTGCGGGCGAGCATTGTCGTCCATAAAAATGGAATCTTCCCCAAGTGCAGTCAATGTGGGTTGTGCATAAGGAATTAGGAATTCCATTATGTACCGGTGGGTGTGCATTTAATGTTCCATTTTCTATGAAAACTAACTCCGTACGCTCCGTCGAATTAATTGCTGCCCAAAACATAACGGAGC